ACTTCCTCAGGTCTTCCCACCACCCCGGCCCCTCAGGGGCCTCCTGTCCCCTTTGGAGCCTCCAGCCTCCACACATCCCCCTCACGCCTTCCCACGGCCTTGTCCCGTCAGGGCCTCCACGCTCCCTCATCCATTTACAGCCTCCCAGTGCCCTGTTCCCTCAGCGTCTCCCCCAGCGTGGCCCGGCAGCAGCGCCGCAGCCCCACAGGAGCTCCAGAGGAGCTGCATCAAGAGGCACCTGGGAGCCCTCAGCAACCCAGCCAGCACCACACGGGCACGAGGACACAGATGGCGCTTCCTGGCTAGGACAGGGCTTGTGCCTTCAACAGAACTGCCAAAGGCCAAGGGCTTCTGGCCATTTTCCCTGCACCGCTGCACGCCTGGGCAGCTTGCTGAGCACAGGCACCATTTTTCCTCTCTTCCCCTATGCCCTGCAGACCCGGGGCAGCAAAAGAAAGATCCTGGACCTCTGCATGACAGCAGCGATTTCATATTTCCATGCCCAGATGAGGTCTTCCCTGCAAGCTCAGGTGGCCTGAGCAGATTTAGCTCCTGGAATTAGTTGTTCACAGCACAAGCTGCCCCACAAAGGAGGCTTCCTACCCCCCACCCTTCTGGAAGTGGTCTTGCACCTTCTGAAACCTGGAGAGTATGGAGCTCTCTGTGCAGCTAAGAGTTGAACGGTTTGAAGTGCCAAGCTTGAGATGGCAGGGCTGATGTCATCAGTCAGGTCCTGAAGGGCTGGAAGAGAGAGGAACAGAGCCACGGTCAGATCCCAGACCTGCGGTGACCCAATGAGAGCCCCCTGCCAGGGCCATCCCAGCCGGCTCTTGCCATGGGCAGCAGGGAGCAGGGACCGAGGGGATCAGCCCGAAGCTGCTGGCCACGAATGCCCCACGTGGCCCTGAAATCTCGGTGTGCTCTGCCCACGCTGCCCCTCATCCGCACAGGGAGCAGAGCCCTCCGCAGACAGGCCAGGACTTGCAGCTCCCCCCGCCAGCCCCGCTGACAGCCCGCTGCCCTCACCTTTGTAGATGAGCTGGGTCTCTTCCTGCTGCTTTCTCAAGTACCGCCCTGCAATCCCTGGGAATACAGAGCCTGTCATGGACCGTGGCCCAGATCCTGCTGTGGCAGGACAGGGACGGACCCCGGGCTCGTGGCTCACCGATGAACCTGACGGCCGCCTCTCGCAGGGGCTCCTGCGGGCTATCCAGATATGGCAGAGCCCGGCGCAGGTGCTCGGCCGCT